ATAGTGTCTTTACCATACTTAAAATTATATCATTTTTCTATCTATCCTCCAGTGTCTTCTCCATAGTATACCGCCTTATACCAATGACTCCTTCCCAATCTTTCCAGGGATTATTAGTTTGGATAGTGTTAGTTGCTATAAAAAAATTTCCAAGAGAAGTATTTCTCCCTTATATGATTATCAAGCTGAGAATTCCTGGCTAATGGACAGCTTTTATTCACGTGGAATTGCAGGGTTACGGCATTCTTTTGCTTGTATTTCAGCCATCCCTTAAGATCTCATCATCTTCTGCATCAAACCAATGGATGGAAAACAGTAGTGAAGGCTCACCTATTATAAATTCTTGCTTAGAAATCAAACACTTGTTTCTTCTCACATTCTAATTGACTAGGATTCAGTCATGTGGCCACACCTCTATGTAAGGAAATACAGTCCCAGGTAGACAGCCACTTGTCAGCAACAATTCTATCCATGAAAGAGAAAACAATAATTTTGATCCACACTTAATTGTCTTTTCCTCAAAATCAGGAGTCTGTAAACTCCATACCTTGCTCCATCTTGCACTGCAGTCATATTTAACTGCTTGCAGTCTTAAAATACACCATGGCCTTTCTTTCTTTGTATTGCTGCCTTTTGCTTGTGGATATCTTCCACTCTTCTTTCAAAACTTAGCTGAGAAATTATCCTGAGAGGCTGAGGCAGGAGAATTGCTTGAACCCAGGAGGTTAGTTGCAGTGAGTTGAGACTGTGCCACTGCACTCCAGTCTGGGTGACAGAGTAAGACTGCCTCAAGAAAAAAAAAATAAGAGAGAGAGAGATTTTGTGTTGGTAATATAATCAAAAAATTAAAAATCTTTGGTAAGCCTAGTTTCTTCCTTCGCAAGGTCAGCACGGAGATATTATTTCTGAATTAACCTCCTTATGTATTCTGTAAAACTCAATTTAAAAAATGGGAAATGGACTAGACACGTCTTCAAAAATGACATAAGAATAGTCACTTCTTCAATAATGGCATAAAGATAGCTAACAGGTATATGAAAAAGTGCCCAACATCACTATTCATCAGAAAAATGCAAATCAAAATTACTATGAAATACTATGTCACACCTGTTGGGATTGGTATAATCAAAAAGACAAGAGATAACAGGTGTCAGCAAGGGTATAGAGAAAAGAGAATCCCTGTGCACTGTTGGTGGGAATGTAGACTGGTGCAGCCATATGAAAAACAGTATGGAGGTTCCTACAGAAATTAAAAATAGAACCACCACATGACCCAGAAATCCCTCTTCTGTGTATATGCCAAAATAAAATGGAATCACCATCTCCTGAAGATAGTTGCACTCCCATGTTCATTGCAACATTATTTAGAATAGGCAAGATATGGAAACAGTCTAGGTGTCCATCAATGGACAACTGTATAAAGAAAGATACATACACTCCATTGTGTGTATATACATACACAGAGACACACAGAGAATGGAATCTTAGCCTTATAAAAGAAGGAAATCCTGCCAGGTGCTATCACTTTGATGGACCTGGAGGACATTATGCTAAATGAAATAAGCCAAGGATACAGAAAGAAAAATTTTGCATGATCTCACTTAGAGCTGAAATTAAGAAAAGGTCAAATATATATAATAGTGGTTTATAGCAGGGGTCCCCAAGCCCCAGGCCACAGAACTGCACATGGGAGGGATCTAGGTGCATGCTCCTTGTGAGAATCTAATGTCTGATAATCTGAGATGGAGCTGAGGCAGTGATATTAGTGCTACGCAGTGGCTGCAAATACAGATTAACATTAGCAGAGGGTTTTGACTGCACAGAGATCATAATAAATACATTGCTTATAGATTCACATCAAAACCCTACCAGTGAGGGGCAAGTGACAAGTGACAAGTGACAATTAAGATGCATCTGGTGTCAGGCTTTATAGTGGGAAATTGATGTACTTCAATTGTATAACTGCACCTGGTGGCAGGCTTTACGTCAGAATCCAATACTTATTTTTGTCTGTGCATGCCCCAGCCATTATTTTATGGCTTTCATCTGCATCCCTTTCCCACGCTGTGCACTTGTCTTAGTCACAGTTTTGCTAAGCCCACAAGCTAACCCTAGCCAAAATAAGTGAAAAACAAACATCTCTGGACAGCTTCTTTGAAAATGGAGAAAGACCCAATGATGAGACAGCAGAAGACTCTAAGACTGCAGAACAAAAGAAAGCTGCATTTAAAGGAAAATACCCAGAGTCCTACTTAAATTACAGGTTTATTGCAACAGGTGGTTCACATTCTCCAAGCCTGCTTTGTATAATATGTGGTGACTGGCTATCCAATGAAGCTATGAAATCTTCAAAACTGCTTTGTCGGAAAAAAAAAAAAAAACCATGAAAACATGAACACAAAGAACACGAAGAACACACAGAAGCAATGATTGAAGGCTATCACATCACCAAATACATCTTCACTGAGCACATGATTCTTAGTAGCTAACCGCATTACTAAAGGTAAGAAGCCCTTTACTATTGGTCAAGAATGGATCCTGCCTGCTGCTAAGGACATTCATTGTGAACTTTTAGGAGAGGCTGCAGTTCAAAAGATGGCACGTACTCCTCTTTCAGCTAGCGCCATAACTAGATGAATTGATGAAATAGCAGACAATATTGAGGCACAATTGTTAGAGAGGATTAATGAGTCACCATGGTATGTAAACCAGGTTGATGAGGCTACCAATGTTGATAACAAAACAACAATGCTTTTTGTGTGTATGATTTATTTTTTCAGGAAGTACGGGCACAAGGATGTGTTGTGTGAGATTTTGTTGCCAATCAAAACCACAGCTGCAGAACTATTTAACTCTTTAAATGACTACAGATCAGGAAAAGTGAATTGGTCAATATGTGCAGGTATATGCATGGAAGGAGCAGCTGCCATGACTGGATGGCTTTCTGGTTTCACTACTCTGGTCAAAGAGACAAGAATGTGAGTATACGCACTATGTCATCCATAGATAAATGCTGGCTAGCTGAAAAATTTCACCTGAACTTAACAACATTTTGCAGGATGTGACCAAAATTATTAACCACATGAAAGTACATTATCTTAACTCACATTTGTTTGTGCAGCTCTGTGAGGAACGGGCACAGAGCACAAATGTCTTCTCTTATACACAGAAGTGAGGTGGCATTCTAAAGGTTGGTCACTGGCCAGAATTTTTGAATTAAGATAGCTGCTCCAGAGATTTCTTTTAGAAAAATGGTCACCACTGGCGACACATTTCAGTGACACAGAATGGGTTGCAAAACTTGCTTACTTGTGTGGCATATTCAACCTGCTCTATGCACTCAACCTGTCACTTCAGGGGAGAAGGACAACTGTGTTCAAGTCAGCAGATCAAGTGGCTGCATCGAAAGCCAAACTGGAATTTTGGAGGCAAGAAGTGAAACGTCGGGATTTTTGACATGTTTCAAACATTAGCAGAGATTTTGAAAGAGACTGAGCCAGGGACTTCTTTCTCTCAGCTGGTGCATGATCATCTCAGCTTTCAAAACAGTTTAAGCATTACGTCCCAACCACAAAAGAACCCTGAACTGGCAATGAATGTCTCCGTGACCCATTTGTGAATAAGCCAGGTGAATCGACTTTGTCCCCACTAGAAGAGGATCAGTTGCTTGAGATCACTAATGATGGCAACCTTAAAAGTATGTTTGAGGCCGGGTGCGGTATCTCACGCCTGTAATCCCAGCACTATGTGAGGCTGAGGTGGGCGGATCACGAGGTCAAGAGATCTAGACCAGCCTGGCCACCATGGTGAAACCCCGTCTCTGCTAAAAATACAAAAAATTAGCTGGGAGTGGTGACGGGTGCCTGTAGTCCCATCTACGTGGGAGGCTGAGGCAGCAGAATTGCTTGAACCTGGGAGGCAGAGGTTGCAGTGAGCCGAGATCGTGCCACTGCACTCCAGCCTGGGCGACAGAGTGAGACTCCAAAAAAAAAAAAAAAAAAAAAAAAAAAAAAAAAAAAAAAAAAAGACAGCTTCAAATCTCTACGTTCTAGGTGGAATATCCTGAGATTGCCACAAAAGCACTGAAGAGCCTGCTTCCATTTTCAACATCCTACCTTCGTGAAGCAGGATTTTCTGCAGCAATAACAACCAAAACAAGATTACAGAATAGACTGGACGTAAGCAACACATGTACGGTGTCACTGTCTCTTCTCATTCCCAGATGGAACCCTCTAGTTGCAGGAAAACAAGGTTAGGGCTCCCACTGAGTCTAAATTATGGTGAGTTGTATAATTATTTCATTATATTTTATTACAATGTAATAATAATAGAAATAAAGTACGCAATACATATAATGTGCTTGAATCATCCTGAAACCTTCTACCAACCAACCCTGGTCCATAGAAAAATTCTTTTCCACGAAACTGGTCCCTGGTGTCAAAAAGGCTGGGAACCATTGGCTTATCCAGGGTCATCCAGGTTGGAGTGGGGTCAGGAGAAATGGAGAAATTTAGGTAAAAAAATACAAAGTTACAAACATGTAGGATGAACAAATGGAAAGACCTAATGTACAACATGAGGACCATAGTTAACGACAGTGGTATTCAGGATTTGAGTAGATTATAGCTGCTGTTGCCCCATGGGCGGCAATGTGTGATTACAGGAGTTGATGGATATGTCATACATATAATTTAAATACACACAATAAAAACTAGTTTAAAAAGGATCTAAGCACAATATTTATTTTAAAAAATAAAGGGAGCTTTTGAAACATTCAAGTAACTGCTTAAAAACAGATTTTAAAAAAACATAACAAAATTTAATAGAAGGAAAGAAAGAGACAGCAAGAAAGAAAAGGCACCATAAAGAAAAACAACCTTGACCCCTCCTCATTAGTCGTCTAAACTGCCTCTGCTCCCTCGCCTTGAAAAGCCACGGGCGTCCGAAGGATAGAGGTCGAAGCCAGAGTGAAGAAAGTTCCTAGGGGAGGCGACTCCCCAGCTGGTGATTTTCAGTTCCAGCTGGTGTCGAGGTCCCAGTTCATCTCTGCCCTTAACCACAGGACAAACGTTTCTGGAGCCTCTCCGAGGAGCAAGAAAGCGAATCGGGGGTAGAGGAGGCGGGCCACACGCTAGGTGGTGGGTGCAGTCCCTCCTCCAGCTCCTCCTCCTCCAGCAGCAGTGCGGGACCCGGGCGCCGGCGCAGGGACCAGGGAAATGAAGCCGCGCTGTGTGCGTAAGATCCAGGAAACGAAACCCGGGGCCGCGGCTGTCGGCGCGAAGGTTACTCCCAGACTCGCTTCCTGCTGACTTTGGAGCAGGTTGCGCAGCAGCTGTGCCCGGCAGTCTGGAGGCGCGGGAGAGGAAGCCACAGCCTGGACCCTGCTCTCTGGACCTCGGCTCGCTCGGGAGCGGAAACAGCGGCAGCCACAGGTGCGCGGGCGGCTTTTTCTGCCGCCTCCCGGGGACGCGGGCGCGGGAACTGCGCGGAGCCTGTTCTGGTCCCAGGGCCGGGGTCAGATGTGGAGGGCAACTTACGGAGAACCGGCGCGACGGCCTGTCGGTAGTGTTTGCTGCTCTGGGGGTGGAGGATGTGGGGTGAAGGTTGGGGCCAGAAAGGCAAGAAGCCTCTGAACGGGACCCTGGAAGTAAAGCAGGTACTCAGCCAGAGGCCCGAGGCCACCCAGCGGCACCCTGGCTCACCCCAGAACCATTCCAATGACCAGGGCTGTCCTGCCTGAAAACACCTCGCGGGGCTCAGCCTCCCCTTAGCTACACTGCTTTACAGGCAGAGAGCAGCCCTGAATCGTGGGCTGAGTCTGGTCTCAGGAACATGTGCCAGCATAGCGGGGCATAGTGGGGCTGTTAGAAGGGACGGTTAATACAGCCTGCAATTGGTCATTTATCAGTAAGTATTCACTGAAGTCTGCCTGGAGCCCACAGCTATGGTAGGCCCTCTACACTACCAGCTTGTAAGACAAAGCGGCAGTGTATGGCACAGTTGCTAAGACCATTGGCTCTAGTCAGGCTGCCCGACTTTAAATTCGGCCTCTTACTACTTCACATCTGTGGACTGTCAGCCACTTTCTTCATTTATGTTCTTTCCATTGTCTCCTCTCTGAAATTGTGTAACTATTTAAAAAGCTACAGAGTATTACATGTGTTAGTTCTTTCCATTGTCTCATCTCTGAAACTGTGTAACTATTTTTAAAAAGCTACAGAGTATTACGTGTGTTAATGTAAAGTTTTTATTTTATTTTTATTTTTATTTTTATTTTTGAGACGGAGTTTCGCTCTTGTTACCCAGGCTGGAGTGCAATGGCCCGATCTCGGCTCACCGCAACCTCCGCCTCCTGGGTTCAGGCAGATCTCCTGCCTCAGTCTCCTGAGTAGCTGGGATTACAGGCATGCGCCACCATGCCCAGCTAATTTTTTGTATTTTTAGTAGAGACGGGGTTTCACCATGTTGACCAGGATGGTCTCGATCTCTTGACCTCGTGATCCACCCGCCTCGGCCTCCCAAAGTGCTGGGATTACAGGCTTGAGCCACCGCGCCCGGCTATAAAGTTCTTAGAGCAGTGCCTACAGAAAATACTCAGTGAAAGTTAGCTTTTATTATTTTAAATATTTGACAAAGTCCCTGCTTCTCCAAGCTGCCTCTCTGGTTCCCATGTGGTTTCATTCATGCACTGTTATTCCTGGAAGTCTTGGCTTGGCCATTTCCCGGTTCCAGGTACAGGCAGTTCCCAGTTCCAGAACAGAGGCAGTCGTTGTTTCTTTCTGTTTATCACATTGAGATACATGGTTACTACAAGTAACACTTAAAAGTGTTAGGCAGTTTGGGGGCTCCTGTCTTGAGCTTTTCCTAAGAACAAACCTTTCTCTTAATGTCACCCTGTTTACAACAATAGTAGAGCTTTGAACAATGAGAAAAATGCAGGGAAATGAAAAATACAAATAAAGGGAAATGAGTGGATTTCTGCAGTTGGATAGAAAAGTGGCATGTAAAAGAGCTGGTTTACAGATCAAACTGCCTTTAGATCTGCAAAGGAGCTTAGAGTACAGGTGAAGAGACATGAATTGTGTGTGAGCAAACCCTTGTGTATCTCTCCATCCTCATCTCTAAGAATCTTTCCCTCTTCTGCTCTGTAACCTCACTGGTCTTCCTTTCCTTGAATGAGGCAAGTTCTTCCAGCTCAGGAATTCTACCTATGAAGTTCCCTTTATCTATAATGCCCTCCAACACCCCACCCACATACCTCCATAGACTAGTTAATTTGAGATTTCCTTCAGCTCCCAGTCTGACTTTTATTAAACCCCTACCACCGTCGAAGTTAGTGGTAACTTAAAAGCCATAACCCTTTCTTACAGCAACGTTACTGTTATCTACAGCACTTAGAGTATTTTTAATAATATATTTAATTCTTAGTTGTCTGTCTCCCCTAGTGTCGAGATATTGTGCTCTAGTGCCTGGTACAGTGCCTTGCATGCTCTCTGCCTTCAATTAATTCCTTAAAAACCATACAAGCTTTATATTTAGTGAATATCTATATAGGGAGTATTTATATATGTGTATATGTATATGTGTGTATATATATATATATATATATATGTGTGTGTGTGTGTGTGTGTGTGTGTATCTATATATACAATTCAATAGCACTACCCTGAATAGTGCTAAATTAAAAATCCAAAACAACTTTTAATCAGAACTAATAGTTGCACTCTTCAATTTTCCATATGTTTTTTTTTGTTTGTTTTTTTTTTTTTTGAGACGGAGTTTCGCTCTTGTTACCCAGGCTGGAGTGCAATGGCGCGATCTCGGCTCACTGCAACCTCCGCCTCCTGGGCTCAGGCAATTCTCCTGCCTCAGCCTCCTGAGTAGCTGGGATTACAGGCACGTGCCACCATGCCCAGCTAATTTTTTGTATCTTTAGTAGAGACGGGGTTTCACCATGTTGACCAGGATGGTCTCGATCTCTCGACCTCGTGATCTACCCGCCTCAGCCTCCCAAAGTGCTGGGATTACAGGCTTGAGCCACCGCGCCCGGCTTTCCATATGTTTTTTTAATAAGTGATTAGAAAAAAAAAAATGATGTTGGCCGGGCACAGTGGCTCAAGCCTGTAATCCCGGCACTTTGGGAGGCCAAGGCGGGTGGATCACGAGGTCAAGAGATCGAGACCATCCCGGTCAACATAGTGAAACCCCGTCTCTACTAAAAATACAAAAAATTAGCTGGGCATGGTGGCATGTGCCTGTAATCCCAGCTACTCAGGAGGCTGAGGCAGGAGAATTGCCTGAACCCAGGAGGCGGAGGTTGCGGTGAGCTGAGATCGCGCCATTGCACTCCAGCCTGGGTAACAAGAGCGAAACTCTGCTTCAAAACAAAACAAAACAAAACAAAAAACGATGTCTCCATATATAGTCTGCTGCTGTAACAGAATACCTGGGATTTGGTAATTCATAAATTCATAAAGGACAGAAATGTGTTTCTTACAGTTCTGGAGGCTAGGAAGTCCAACATAATCGTGTGTTGCTTAAAGACAAGAATACATTCTGAGAAATGCATCATGAGGCAATTTTGTGGTGGTGAGAACATCAGAGAGTTTACTTACACAATCCTGGATAGTATAGCTTACTATTTAGGCTGGGGTGGTGGGGTGGCGGGTATTGAGGAGAGTCAGATTGAGAGCTGAAGGAAGTCTCAAATAAACTAGTCTATGGACGTGTGGGTGAGTGGGGTGGTGTAGGGCATTATAGACAAAGGGAACTTTACAGGTAGAAGTCCTGGGCTGGAGGGAACTTGGCTCATTCAAGAAAAGGAATATGACCAGTGAGATTGCGGATAGCCTACTAGACCTTGACTCTGTGGAATAAAGTATTGCTCCTGGCTAGAAACCTGTATGGCATGTTACTGTACTGAATACTGTAGGCAAGTATAATACAATGTTAAGTATTTATGTATCTAAACATATCACAACATAGAAATAGTACAGTAAACATATGGTATATAATCTTATGGGACCCCCATCATATATGTGATCTCTTGTTGTGGTACATGACTGTATCGAGGTGCCAGCATCTTGTGAAGGTCCTCTTGCTGCATCATCCCATGGTAGAAAGTGGAAGGGCAAGACAGCAGGAGAGCACGGAGCTTGATTTCATTACAGGCCTACTCTGGCAATAACTAACCCGCTCCCAAGATAACATTAATCTATTCATGAAGGTAGAGTGTTTATAACCTAATCATAGTTTATCAGGCCACACCTCCCCCCAGCACTGTTGCATTGGAAATTAAGTTTCCAACACATGAACTTTGGTCACCCATTCTAACCATAGCACCTGGCCTAGTTAAAGCTAAGTGGCACAAAAGTAAATTGAACTTCAAGCCTTTTCTGTCTTACATAAGAAAGATACCTTAAGAGAGTCTTTTAATAAATTACACTGAAGGTTGTCAGTTTTTCTTTTTTCAGTGAATCAGAGACATTGGTGCAAAGAATATGAATTATTAATCATCTTAATTCAGCTAGTTAGTGAGCTGTATCACATTAAAATCAGTTTTACTTCTATGGGTTTAGTTTCATCATTTATTAGGAAGAAAGGAAAGAAACAACTCGAATTTGTGAGGGAGCTCTGGGTTGTCCGGAAAGGCTTTTCAGAGAATAAAGCAATCAAATGAGAATGACTGATTTAGTCTTTGTTTCCTTTGTCTCTTTGGTTTACTTCGTAGTTTTGTGGAACACTTGATCACTATCATCTCACTTGGTTTTAGTTGATGTATCATCTACATTTTTATTCAAGGTTTAATATAAAATGCTATAAAAGGCTATCCCAAATTGCTTTTAAGCCTATTTATTTTGTTTGAGCATAAAATACACAAGAGGATCTTTATGGGAAGACTCCTTGTTACAAGGTACTCTGCATTTATAATCAGCCTCGGTCACCTCACTGCATTCCCATATTTTACAGGTATGATGTGCTAGCTACTCAAAGCCTCACCACCTGCTTGCCCCACACATTGTGTAAATGTATGAATTTTTTCTATACTTACATTTTACCAAAACCAGAGTTCAACAGATGAATATTTTTCCTTCCTAGATGTCAATGAAACATTTTGAAATGTATCAAATTTACCTACAAACATTGCCCAAATGACATGGAAATTATTTAATTTGTGACTTACCTGTGTAATGTTCCCCGGCCTACTCAAAATTCCTGCCTTCCCTCTAGTCTAGTATCTTGTTCTCACTTATTGGGAGGAAGTTAGGGACCTAGAATTCTTGTGATTGTTTTCAGAGCAGTAGAATTTAGGTAAAAGAATTCAAAACATATATCCCTATCTTGGGGCTTGAAGAGAATGTGAAACTGGTTATCCTGTGTTTAGAGGGAACAAGCAGGGGAGGTTGTTTTTATGAAATTAACAAGTAAATTTAAATAAATAACCCTTATCTAGTGTGGGTAACCAAATTTTAGTTTTAGGAACTTTCAAAATTAAGTCTGCTTCCCCTTTCAGTTTCAGATTTTACATTAATGCTTTTTGAAAGCAGTAAGATAAAAATGTCGTGACCTCAAGAGATGGGTCAAAAGAGTTTCACTGTAATGTGAATTGTGAAGGCAGAACAGGCAATCCCCTGTGCTCTTTATTCCTCTTCCTGGTAGTAGAGGTTTACAGTTATCAAGAAGTCCAGAGAAACAATGCGGGCTTATGATTTCTGGTAGAAAAATTTTAAAAGAAGTGTACTTATATGCAAATAATATATGATGCCCCGGTTTCCTCCAAAGTCTTATTTAACAGTTAGACAAATCAGATTATATTTGAAGTTCTTTGTTCATCCTGGAGTAATTGTTATTCCAATGGTACAGTATACATCATAACTTTAGTACTTTTTTTTGGTATACCATAAAGATGATTTTCTCTTTCTCTGAAGTATTTATGAAATTAAAAACAAAATAAGTGTGGTAGAAGCCAATATTTATGAGTTATCAGGCTAAATTAATTAATCCATTAATTAATTTATTCAGGGCACAACCAGTTATTCCCCAAACTGAGTGACATACATCTTGGAATAGACTCATTAAGCTTGAGAAACCCCAAGGGATCATGATAACAGCAAAGAGGAATGTAGGCATCCACATAGCGGATGACTTTAGTGACCTGGCACACAGTGCTTTATCTACTCGGCACATGGACAGATACAAGGAACACTTAACATTTTGCACCTGAGCTTGTTACATGCCATTTGCAGTGCTTGAGATATTAGGTAAATGCCAAAATTCTAAAACCTATAGTAAAGCAAATACTCAGATTTTATTCTGCAGTAGTTTTGCCAGTAGGTTCTCATCCTCACTAGTTTATCTTTTAGGATGAAAAATAATGTAATCAAGTAGGAAAAAAGAGCAAATATGAACAAATTGTCATTGTTTTAGAAACAGCTTTTTTCCCTTTCCTGGATTTCTGTGGTTGGTACTCATTTGGCAAGGACTTGAAACTCACTTCCTTTAGACTGTGCAAGTTGTGAAGGCTGTTTTTAATTTGGTTACTATTTGGAATCTTAGCTCATAGTGTATCTTTACAACTTTTTGCCTCACTGGACCCTCATCTCAAAAGGCTTTAGAATGTGTTCACTGTCATGAGCTGACCAACAATGTCTAAATTCCTACTCAGAAACACAGCAAGTGGAATGCAGTTAAGCACAAAGGGCTTAAATGACCAGGTAAGGCTGGGCTGGATGAATAGAGAGGAATATCCCATGAGTATGACTGGGTAGTTTTAGAGTATCCTGTTTCAACTGTTATATTTGACTTGTAAACTTATAGACAGTGTATTAATGCCAGATCTTCTTTTACAGAACTGTTTAAATCATGGACAAACAACGTAAGTAATTTACTTAAATGTTTACTTTCCTCCCTATAATGCTAATCTGTTAGTAATTTGTTATTTGTCATAATGTTTCATTCAGTGTCTGAAAGTATATAATTTGTTTTCTGTTGTTTATACTCCAGAATACAATGTCTAGCTCAGTATTTTGACTATAGAGAAGATGTGCAAAAATATCACTACCACTAGGTTCTTCATTAAAAATAAAAAGCCTTGGCCAGGTGTGGTGGCTCACACCTATAATCCCAGCACTTTGGGAGGCCGAGGCAGGTGAATCACAAGGTCAGGAGTTCAAGACCAGCCTGGCCAACATGGTGAAACCCCATCTCTACTACAAATACAAAAAATTAGCTAAGCATCATGGTGGATGCCTATAATCTCAGCTACTCCTGAGGCTGAGGCAGGAGAATTGCTTGAACTCGGGAGATGAAGGCAGCAGTGAGCCAAGATGGTGCCACTCACTCCAGCCCAGCAACAGTGTGAGACCCTGTCTCAAAAAAAAAAAAAAAAAAAAAAAAAAAAATACAAACTAAGAAAGCCTTTTGGAGAGCTAAGAAATTTTAGATTTATTGGGAAATATGTTCTATAACATATAGTATATTCAAGCCAGAACAATATTTTCTTTTCTCTGTGTATTTTATATGTATAAAGATTATTTAAGTCATACTAATTAACAGATAATAAGATTTCAGTTCATTGTAATAAACTCTCAGATACATATTTAAACGTATATTTCATCACATACACGTGTGTAGGTTTAAATAAATAATAATCATTATGTTCTGGCTTTTTTTCCTCTCAAGAAAATTCTAAGTAAGATGGATATTTATCAAGCAAGTAATAAAAGACTTTGTCTTATTAAGATATGAAAGTTCTGAAGAGGGACACCACTACATAAGGAAATTGTTCAAAATTCCCACTACCTAGGAAAAATTAAATTCAAAAATTAAATCCTGTTTTTCTGAAATGCTTTTCTTTATTCTCTCTTTTATCTTTGTTGAGGTAACAAAATGATTTATCTTTCACTATAGTGTCAGTTTTTATTAGATATATTAAATAATCTCCAGGACTAGGCCCCTTGCTTTTCCCATGTGAACTTTTAAAACTCAAAGCTTTTTAAATGTAACTTTTTTTTTTTTTTTTTTGAGACGGAGTTTCGCTCTTCTTGTTACCCAGGCTGGAGTGCAATGGCGCGATCTCGGCTCACCGCAACCTCCGCCTCCTGGGTTCAGGCAATTCTCCTGCCTCAGCCTCCTGAGTAGCTTGGATTACAGGCATATGCCACCATGCCCAGCTACTTTTTTGTATTTTTAGTAGAGACGGGGTTTCACTATGTTGACCAGGATGGTCTCGATCTCTTGACCTCGTGATCCACCCGCCTCGGCCTCCCAAAGTGCTGGGATTACAGGCTTGAGCCACCGCGCCCGTCTAAATGTAACTTTATGTAGAATTACACTGTTTTATTTGCCACAAGCTTTAAGTTGATTCCACTCAATTTAGAAAAATTTATCTGGTCATGGTCATAGTCACCTTTTAACTCTTCAGTTTTGTATATATAACTGTAGGCATGTATGCATACATTTGCATAAATAGAAATAAAATGTGTATATGTGTATGAATTAATGTGTATATATGTATATATATGTACAGGTAGACATTAAAAACAAAGTATCTTTAAGACAATGTGATAGAATTGTATTTTTTATAAGCTATTTTAATTTGCATTTAATGCAAAAATTAAACCATAATTAACATGCTCTTTGTTCTAGTTGAACACCTCTGCCCCTTCACTTATTCTCCTTGTATAAATTCCCCTTGGAATTTCTGAAATCAGGATCATTGCTTTGGCACCAAATGCCCAGAGATTATGAACTCATGATTTCTTGAATCTGTCTGCTCCTGGATGTGTGTATGTGTGTGTGTTCTATGTTCTAGAATTCAAACAATGTGGCTTATTAAGAGGTATCACAATGTGATGTACCTGTCAACGGTAGATCTTTTTTTTTTTTTTTTTTTTTCCCATTTCTGACTAATTTTATTATTATTATTTTTTTTCCTTTTTTATTTCTTTCTTTTTTTTTTTCTTTTTTTTTTTTATTGCATTTTAGGTTTTGGGGTACATGTGATGAACATGCAAGATTGTTGCATAGGTACACACATGGCAGTGTGCTTTGCTGCCTTCCGTCCCCTCACCTGTATCTGTCATTTCTCCCTTTACTTCAGACTTGCAAAGTGTTTTCTTGAAATCTATTCTGAGTCTGATGCTATTGTTTCCAACTCAAGTTAGGAGTAGGGACTGCAGGCAAGGCCTTATGAGCTAGAGAACTAGGGAGTGAGGTCAGTCATTTAATGCTGAGAAATAGAAGAGAATGGTTGGGAAAGAATGATGAGGAATTCCAGAGATGTGTGACAACTCAGAAATCACAGGGTATGCTGCAATGTTTGTCCAGGGAAAAAGTCCTCATTTGAGTAAGAGAGGGGTTTCTCTTTTTATGAGATGGAGTCTCTCTTTGTTGCCCAGGCTGGAGTGCAGTGGGAGTGCAGTAGCACAATCTTGGCTCACCACAACCTCCACCTCCTGGATTCAAGTGATTCTCCTGCCTTAGCATCCCAGATAGCAGGGACTACAGGCATGTGCCACCATGCTGGGGGCTAATTTTTGTATTTTTAGTAGAGACAGGGTTTCACTATGTTGGCCAAGCTGGTCCTGAATGAGTAGGAGAGGCTTTTTTTTGCCTGAATTTACACAATCACCATTGACTGCATTCTGCTGAAGTCATTATGAAGCCAATTATGAACGAAAAAGGACAGAGCAGGGGGTGGTGGAGGACACAATCCAATCCTCCTGATAAAACCCTATGATTAACAAGCTGAGTGGTCTTTGAAAGTTCATAATAGACACACATACAAAAAAAAATGTGTTACAGTGGAAGTTTGACCTACATATTCTTCTATAGTGATGCCAGATCTCCATGATTCAAAAACAAAAGATTTTGAATTTACAGTTAGTAATTCATAAGAAAATAGATAAGGAGATAAGTGTAGTGTCTACTACACCTTAAGCTATATGAAAGCAGAGCCATTGTAGCCCCAAAGCCTAATTCAAGGGTGACATAGGAGATGCTCAGTAGATATTTAGAGACTGGCTGGGTAAGTAAGTGAATGAATAGATAGACATGAATTTTAATAATTAGGAGATTAAACCATGTGTGCATATATTAAGGTTACTCAAGCCTTATTAGCACATAACAATGTTGAATATGTTAGTGTAGTGTAATTAAACATTATGGCTTTTCTGGGTCAAAAACAGTTATATTTGGGGAATTTCATATGGCTCAACCTTAGTGGAGTAAGCATAAAATATATCATTAAATAATGAAGTATATTCATTATTTTAAATATTTAAAATAATAATTCTTATAGCAGTGATAAGAGATACCTTTAAAATCATCCATAATTCTGCCATCCTTACATCCCATCAGTTTCCTTTATCTCTTTCCTCATAGTCTATATGTCATTTTAAAGCTGTCTTTATTCTAATACCAACAAAACATGGAACTGAACATTAGTCAGGCATGTTTCAAGAACTAGTAATTCAGCCCCAGTAACTTAGCTGTCTCATTTTATCTAAAAAAAGAATTTATCTTAAACAAATTTGCTAATTGCAAATTGGCTCTGATAACAGGCACAGCTTATGTTAAGTGAAACTTTTACTTTCCCTATTTCAATACAGCATAGGACCACACAAGTGAAAATTATCTAAGTATAATATGTTGTTTCTTTCTAACATGTATTTTATTTAATCAGACATATATAGACCTCTCCTTAAATTGCAGACACACAGATGAATGATTCTCACCCAGAAACAAACATGCCAGTTGGGTATCCGCCTCAGTATCCACCAACAGCATTCCAAGGTAAAGTAGTTGATTAAAGAAGAAAAAGTAAAATTAGTCAATTAATATTCCAGAGAGAGAGAAAATTGTGCATGTGTTTTTATTTTAGTCTTTCTCTTTAAAAAAAATATATTGATGAAACTTTGGTAGTCTCACTGTTCTTGATTATTTTTATTTGCCCATACATTTTCCTTAGAAGTAATTTTTACTTATAGAGGACAGTAAAGGTATAAAGAAAGCTACTAAAAACAGTATTATGTTTACATTTAGCAAATGAAATACAGAATTGTAATCTCAAACTATAAATGTTAAGTTAAATATTTTATTGATTCTCCATCTGTTCTGAAAATTATGATCATTTAATTACATTTAGGAAATTTATTCCTGATAAATTGAGTCATGTAGTAGCTTGGAAAATGTTCAGTGAGAGTCATATCAAAATAGTAAGACTGCTTAAAAGGTTTTAAAAGAAATTCAGTTACCTGGGAATAATTATCATTTTAATTTTATAATATATATGAAAGCTTTATTTTTGTATATATGCTGATTCATCCTTGTATTTCTAAGAAAAGTAATTGTATCATTTCATTACATACATAATTGAGTATATTTTTTTCTTTTTAACCAATACTTGAAAGAATTCAGAGATTTTCATTTAGGCAAATGCAGTTATCAAAACTACTAGAACTTTAAAAAGAGCAAAGTCGATGGCAGGGCCAGATTTATAAGTAAGCAGGCTACCCACATCTTGAAAGAGCATCTTGGGAATTTAGGATCAAAGGGAATGTGGTTTGGATGGAAGGGTGTACCCATTGTGTTTTCTTCTCTGAGTAAACAAATGTGCTTAGGAGCTGAATGTCATGTTTAACTGCGTAGCAAGAAACCTTCCTTTGGGTCCCAGATTTCATCCAGATGTTTGCAGCTAAAAGAATATGTGCTAGATAAGCTCAAAGACTCTTAAGGTGGTGGCTCACAACCATGGCTGTGCTGAAGTTTCACCCAGAAGCACTTAAAAATACTAGTGGCAGGGTACTGTTCCAGAAAAATTAAATCAGAACTTCTGGTGGTGGGACTCAAGGAATGGTAATTTTTTAACTCCCCAAGTGATTCTAATGTGAAGCCAGGATTGAGAACCTCTGCTATAAATTCTTATAGTGCTGGTGTTTGGAAAATCATTAGCAAGTCTATAATATTCATCCAAGGCACTTAAGAGAATGGTGTAATCCACCCAATCGCTAATTAAAAGTAGATATACATAAATAATATAGTTGGGATATAATCAGACCTAAGAGTTTGCATATATATATATATAGAGAGAGCCATACAGCTTGATTTTGTTTCTCAAGTCCAAGATATAGCACAGGTCTTAAGATAACAATGATGCTAACAGTAGGATAATTTAAAATTGAGAGCTTACTGTGCTTTAGTCATTGTTTTAAATGTGACGTTAATAGGGATTAATACATTTAATTCTCAGAATACTCTAATGAGATAGATACTGTTAATTATCCCCATTATATATGTGGGAAAGCTAAGGCATAGGGAATTTTTTTTTTTTTTTTTTTTTGAGACAGTCTTGCTGTGTTGCCCAGGCTGGAGTGCAATGGTGGGATCTCGGCTCACTGCAACCTCTACTTCCCAGGTTCAAGCAATTCTCCTGCCTCAGCCTCTCAAGTAGCTGGGATTACAGGCATGTGCCACCATGCCTGGCTAATTTTTGTATTTTTTATAGTAGAAACGGGTTTCCCTGCATTGGCCAGGCTGATTTTGACCTTGCGATTCAACCACCTTGGCCTCCCAAAGTGCTGAGATTGCAGGAGTGAGCCACCAAGCCCTGTGCTGCCTGCTTTTTAAAAATAAAAATTTGTATAGGTAAATGTGCTGGTAAACCAGTTCTGCCTTCTGTATAATAGTTATGTGGTAGTCTTAAACAAGCTGCAGTACCCTGAAGCCTCAGTGTTCTTATCTATAAATGAAGGTGTTATTTTCAATTTTGGTTGCTCTGTAGAGTAAATGAAAGTATATGTAAAACACTGAGAACAATGCTTGCAAATAATAAATGACAATTATTTTCTAACATATTTTAAAATATTTTTAAAATCAATTAGTCTTTACATAAATTATACTAGACTCAAATTTAAGGAAATTCTTTGCACTTAATTCACTGATTTAAGGAGTAATCAATTATATTTTCAGAGTCTGGGAAAAATGATGATGGTGTTATAAATGTAAGAAATTAAATCATATCCCCCTACCCACTGCCAACCAAAAGAAAAAAAGAAATTAAATCACATCTCCACATCCCCACTGGTCCGCCTATGGTCTGGTTTCTGCGCTGATGCTGATGTAGTGATCTTTAAAAACGTGAATCTGCTCATATTACAGAGACTGTTTAGCTCCCATTTTATTAGTATCCTATTACTTTTAGGATAAAGGCTAACACTAGACCCAAGATGGCCTTTTTCCTGATCTCTCTTTAACTTCCTCTGTAGCCTGGCTCACTGCTGCTCAGCTAGACTGGCTATTTTTCAGATTTTTAAAGGCCTGTGTTTGTTACTGTCCCAGAACTCTATTCTGAAATGTTCTTTCTGTGACCCTGGCCTCCTGAACTCCTATGCATCCTTCAGATTTCAGCATAAAGGTGACCCCTCAGGGCAGCTGTTCTACTCCTTCCCCTTTTCTCTTCCCATCTCAGTAATGACCTTTGGCATCTGTAGCAATACAACTGTGGTCTCTTACTTGAAAGCATTTGTCTCAGATTCTAATTAATGAATTAATTACACTGGTCATTATAGCTCCCTAGAATAAATGGGGATGTAAAGTTGTCTCTCCCATTAAATAATGATGGGCAGGGATTGCATCTCTGTTTTCCATTGTAAATTCCAATGCTTTTGTACTCCTGAAAATTTTGTAAGATATAAGTTAAGACCGTGGAACTCATTCTTCTGCTTAAAATCCTCCAGTACGAGCCAATCATAACTGGAACAAAAGCCAGACTCCTTACTGAGGGCCTCCTTAGATGAACAGCTTCCTATTACTTTGCTGACAGCCATTCCTAGTTGTCTTCTTTCTTATGACATTCTTCTCTTTTACAAGCATGTCAAATTCATTACAAAGTCAGAGGTATTCTATTTGCCTTTCTTTCCTCCTGAAGCATTTCTCACTAGATCTTCGTATAAAGCTTTTCTTTCCTCATCTTTCAGATCTTGATGTAAATTATATTTACCTAAAGTAACTGCCTCATGCCCTGCCCTCCTCCACATACATTCTCACCATCACATCCATATGAAAATATTTTTGTTTTAAATGTCTTTTCTTTCTCCCAGAGGTTGACTGTGAGCTGTTTGACAGCAGGATACCTCCTTGAGAGTTGTCTCCTCATATTCTTCAATACAGCCAATCACATTATGGATCATTTGTAAATATTCATTCATCATAGAAGGAATAAATTATAAAAGCTATATTTACAATGTGTTGTGATGTTTAATCTGTTTTTCTAAGCCTTATTTTTTAAAGGCAAATGAATTTTATCATAAATGTTTCATTTAAAAGAATTTATAAATTTCCTATTCTAAGTATTACATTTTGCATAGGCTTTAACGTTACAATATTGAGTTAAACACAGTCCTTTGAAATTATATTCTACTACTATAAAATTGCTACTCTGTGGACCATACAAATAAGAATACATAAAGCTTCATTGTGATCACATATTCACAGAGAATATATAGTGCACTTACACTTATTAAATTTCTGCCTCTTACAGTTTTTTGCTGTCCTTTTTTCTCAAATTATATTTTCCAAAGACCAAAGAATGTTAAATTGTGAAATTTAAATTTCTAACCTAAATATTATAATGAAATTTTATTTTAATGAGGAAGGCTTAGGAAAGCAATACACTGTGGATTAAAACATAAGGCAAAGGGTTAACCCAAGCAGGTATCTGGAATGTCCTAAAAAAAATGGCATGCTTTCACCTTCACATCTCAACAGTAGCACTGTAGTATTTGGGGATAGACAATTCTTCATTTTTAGGGAGCTGTTCTGGCCCTTTTAAGATGTGTAGCCACAGCCCTGGCCTCTACCCACCAGATGCCGTATTATCTTCCTCTCCAGTTGTGACCCCCAAAAAAGTCTGCAGATCTTGTCAAATATCCCTGGAAGAGGGGGGCAAAACTACCCCACAGTTTGATACATATGTAAGTCATTTGCTAGAATTTCAGAATTATCATTTTTCATAGGATACTTTGGCCCTAGGAATGCTGACTCAAAGCCATTATTTTGGGCCATCTACCTAATGCCATGTCTCTTTCTCTTGAAGGCTTGCCGAAATCTTTATGTAGGTGACTCTAGATCATGGTTATTTACTTTGATTTTTCTCAGATATTAAAGCTTATTTTCCATCTGAGTCTTGAATGGTAAGGATAAGGCTATTTACAGCTTACTAACCCAAAATAGAAGTGGTTGTGCAACCACAGATATTTCATTGAAAATTCTCAGAAAGATAAAAGCATATCTTGAACATCACAGATACAGATTTCTATGCTGAAATGTCAACACATAGGTAGATGGGTTAACCCTAAAATGCTTGATGATTCCATTTTTGGTGCAATTATATGTCATTTCACTTTTTTGTATTTCAGGACCTCCAGGATATGCTGGCTACCCTGGGCCCCAGGTCGGCTACCCACCCCCACCAGCTGGCTATCCAGGTCCTGGGCCAGCTGGCTTTCCTGTTCCAAATCAGCCAGTATATAATCAGCCAGGTGGAGCTGCAGGGGTACCATGGATGCCAGCACCACCAACTCCATTAAACTGCCCACCTGGATTAGAATATTTAAGTCAGGTAATTTGAAGGACACAACATACTCATAAAAAAACAGAACTGTGCTTCCAGCTTGATTAACCAGATTAACAAATGAATAATTCACCAAAGTCTGAAATGGCAAAACTACATTTTCTGCTAACAGTTTACTCTAATTCTTTTAGGTCAGGTTCAGTTTTAAAGCAAATACAAATGCCTTAGAAAATAGTATTTCTGTGATCTTAAATACAATCTGTGATAATAGCCAATAGCAAACATTTAGTTAGTACTGTTTTCCTGTTTTTGTCGAATACATTATCCACGTATTAACTCATTTAATTCTTACAGAAAATCTGTGATATATAATGCTACAGTTAGTTCCATTTTTCAAGAGAGGAAACTGAGGTCCAGAGAATTTATATCACTCACTCTGGGGTGAGAATCTAAAGAGCTGAGAATGGTTTTTCAATCCAGAAACTTTGGTACTGGGCATGGTGCTCTTTAATCTCAATACTGAATAATTGCTTTATAATTTGAAAAAAAATTTAAATAAAGTTTATTGTTGAGTTTCAATAAGTGTCACCAAACAAGGGGTTAATATTTTATGTGCAATATGACTCACCTTTTTATTGTAACTAATAAAACTACATTTTCATGATGCTGCTTTTATTTTTTGGAAGATCCAATTTTATAAATGCCATTAATAAAGGAGTAAAAAGTCCTGGATTTTGTTTCACTAAATTATAATTAGTCTCAGCAATAAGAGGTTTAACATTTATGTGGTGTTAGAAATCAAGTAGGTCAAACAGAAACAAGAAACTCTGTGTATTCAGTCTATACACATTTAAACAAATATTCTTGTGATATTCAATCAGTTTTCATTTCATGAATCATTTCTTGCACTGTGTTTAGTAACTTAATTTCCCACAATGCGCTTAAGTGGCACAATCATAGGAATTTTTGGTCATTATTATATTATGCAAGAAATATATAGAAATAGGTATTTTAAAAATCAGGGTCTCATAAAATGCATAAACAATGTTATCACATATGACAAAGGTTGATATTAAGTATGCTTAATACAAATTTGAAACATGTAGAAAACCTCTTTGATGGCTAAAAAAGTTATCAATATTTCTTGAGCCTGTTCCAGAAGGAAGATTGTTATCTACTTTTAAAATTATTTGACACGTAATACTTGTACATATTTATGGAGTACAATGTGGCACTTTAATGCACTGTATGTAATGATAAAATAAGGGTAATTAGCATATCTATCACTTCCAACATTTTATCATTTCTTAGTGTTGAGAACATTCCAAATCCTCTCTTATAGCTATTTGAAAATATACAATAAATTATTGCTAATGATAGGCAGCCTACATAGCTATAGAAGGCTAGAATTTATTTCTCCTATCTAGCCATAATTTTGTATTCATTAATCAACTTCTCTTTATACCTCTCCTCCCTACCCTTCACAGTTTCTAGTAACCACTGTTCTACTCTCTACTTCTATGAGATGAATTTTTTTAAGCTTCCATGTATGAGTGAGAACATTCAGTATTTTTTTTTTCTGGTAGTACCTGGCTTATTTCACTTAATGTAATGTCCCTCAGGCTCACCATGTTGCTGCCAATGACAGGATTTCATTCATTTTTATGGCTGACTTTTATTCCATTGTGTGTGTTAAGAATGCATTTTTCAGCTGGTCACGCCTGTAATCTCAGCACTTTGGGAGGTTGAGGTGGATGGATCACGAGGTCAGGTATTCGAGACCAGCCTGCCAACACAGTGAAACCCCATCTCTAACAAAATTAGAAAAAAGTGGCAAGCGCCTGTAGTCCCAGCTACTCGGGAGGCTGAGGCAGAGAATCACTTGAACCTGGGAAGCAGAGGTTGCAGTGAGTAGAGATCGTGCCACTTCACTCCAGCCTGGGTGACAGAGTGAGACTGCATATCAAAAAAAAAAAAAAAAAAAGGAATTTTTCTTTATTCATTTATCTATTGATGAACACTTAGGTTGATTCTACATGTTGACTACTAGTGCTGCAATAAGCATGACAGTGCAGATACCTCTTTGACATATAGATTTCCTTTCCTTTGAAATTTTTGTTTTGAAAATTTTGGAAAAATTTGAAAAAAATACTGTTTTGAAAAAAATACTGTTTTGAAAAAAATAGTAGTGGGATTGCTGAATAATTTGGTAGTTGTAATTTTAGTTTTTGAGGAAGCACTACATAATGGCTGTCCTAATTTACTTTCTCACCAAATTTCCCCTTCTCCACATTTTCACCATTATTTGTTAGTTTTTGTCTTTTTGATAACAGCCATTCTTAAGTGGGCAACAATATCGTATCTCATTGGGGTTTGGATTTGCATTTCCCTGGTGATTAGTGATGTTGAGCATTTTTTTTCATAAAAGTACCGAGCATTTGTATCAATTTTCTAGTTTTTAAAGTTACTCCAGTGTAAATCAATTTTATTTGATCTAAATTTTCACACATTGTGAACACAATATTTTATTAATTAAAAATATTAACTTGTTTTACACTAAAAATGTAAGCTATTAAATATTGATAATTGATTACATGTACTTTAAAAATATAAATACATGAATTTTAATTTGGTTGGCTTAAAAAAACCTTCATTTGACATATACTTATCACTTTTTTTTTTCCTGTAATAGATAGATCAGATACTGATTCATCAACAAATTGAACTTCTGGAAGGTAGGTGTTCATTGTATTAATCCTGTTTCTAAAATGAATAGAAGTTTATGCAGCTAAAGAAACATCAAATTCCACAAATATAGCACTCTCACTTATATGGGACAGTTAAACTGGTTATTTACTATGACAAAATAATAAACATCAGCAATTCATTTCTAAAATTTAGGAATCGAAAGGTAAAATGCCATTATGCTGGACACTTTCCTCGGGATATTGACACTAATTTAGAAGGAAAATAGTCAAAACCTTTATTTTGCTCCTCTTTTCATACATCACTTTTTATCTGGCTTCTACTGCTTAAACTGTTTTCTCTGTAATTGTGATCAAGTTCAGAATGGCACAGAGTCATATTCCAAAGTAAGTTATCTTTTTTGTTTGGATGAGAAAGTTTTGGCAAATTATCACTTGTTCCCACAGTTTCTCTTGGAAGTTAAGATGGGCCCTAGAAAATCTTTGTATACTAGGTTGGATGCAGGGCACTGTGGCGTTGCGTTGGAGGATGCTGACCAACTAGCCTGCAGGCTTGGCTTCATAGAAGAGCACTCCCAATCATGCTGAATGGACTCACATTTCCTTGGGTCCAGGACTCCTTAGGTGCAAGAATAAACTTAGGAAGCCAATTAATGTTTACAATGTCTGCCAGGGGAAGAAGACTCCGGGTAGATTTATGAACCATAGTGTTTTCCTTCTAGATAAAAAAGGTTTAATAAAAACTCTACCAGTTTTTAGGAGTATGTCTGTTAAATTCATTTTCACCTGTCTCCAAGTTTCTTTCTACTGGTAAAAATTAGAACATGAATTGTACAAGCAGAATAATGGATTTGGCTAAAATATACAGTTGTCATCTGTTAAATTTATGTTATTTATAATGCACATTATTAGATAATGATAATTTACCTGATTTTTTTTTTTTATCTAAACAAAGCTCTCTCTGGAAGAGAGCTTTGTATTCTGAGTTTTTTAATGTTTCATGGTATATATTATTAAGGCTATAAAAATCCAAACAGATGTATAACCAAACATTACACAGCCCAGTATTTATCTTTTTTTGTAGATTTATAAGCTTTATAAATATTTGTTAACTATGTGTTAATTATGAAATATAAAGTTCCAAATCTACTAGTTTCTAATTTTGCATTTTTCAAAAAAGACATGTCTCTAGTTTTTCTTTTTCTCCAAAATTGAAAGTCTATGTTATTTTTTCATATTATGAGTGACATAAAAAAGATGAAAATTACTCAGATTTTTAGCATCTGAGCATAAAATAGGCATTTACTTTTTTCTCAATTCAAAACACAGAAGATAATAGAGACATAATCAGAATTTGTTTATCTGTTTACACTTTTAAGTAAATGAAAAAAATTTAAAGTTTATATAAGCCAATGTTGTTTTACAAATAAGTTGGAGATTTTTGAGATTAAGCTACTTAATGAAACAATTAATTAGATAATAAATGCCCTCTCAAAATGAGTTTAATTTTTTTCTCACCAAACATTTGACTATTTCAGATGTTGAAATCAGGGGTGGTTCTTGTAAGTGCAGACTACAGGGCCTGTCTGTGTCCCACCAAGGACACCTAAAGGAGTTCATGGCGATAAGACTTGTGAAGGCCATCTTTATCCCACTAAAAGTCTTTCCACTTAGGCATTATACAGCGACTTTGCCTCCATATATTTCTTTTTTTTTTTTGAGACGGAGTTTCGCTCTTGTTACCCAGGCTGGAGTGCAATGGCGCGATCTCAGCTCACTGCAACCTCCGCCCCCTGGGTTCAGGCAATTCTCCTGCCTCAGCCTCCTGAGTAGCTGGGATTACAGGCACGTGCCACCATGCCCAGCTAATTTTTTGTATTTTTAGTAGAGACGGGGTTTCACTATGTTGACCAGGATGGTCTCAATCTCTTGACCTCGTGATCCACCCGCCTCGGCCTCCCAAAGTGCTGGGATTACAGGCTTGAGCCACCGCGCCCGGCCCATATATTTCTTTTAATCACTTGTCATTTTATTCAGGCTTCTGACATCTATGAACCCAGTTACTGAGGGCTATGTACAAGTGGGACAGTTATTGCTACTTTCTGACTTTCAATAGGGAGAGGTTTCCAATGTATGGTTTAACATAGAAAGCCCTTGATAAAAAAGCATGTGGGTGTCAGCATATTGAGTCATCTGTTTCCCTTATGAAAAGATTAGCCCATCTAAGTGCCGAGCTCACGTAGGATGCCCATGGTCTAGATATTCTGTGAGTGGAAGTCTTGGTTGCCAAACACCTTTTGTCAAATACCCACCTCCCACTTCTGAACAGCTACTGCTAAGCTGATAAAATGCCCTGGGTTCAGTGTGACATTCTAATTCACTTTCATTTTCACTCCATCAGTTTTTATGCATGTGTGTTGCCTTCTTTCAAAAACATTGCCAAAAAAAAAAAATAATAAGACATAAGTATGGTTTACAAGATGGTCTCAAGCCAATTGACTTAATATAAAATTTCACAGTGCATAAACAGCAATCCTCTTATATTCCCCTCCACATTACACAGAAACGACCCTGCATTAGTGACATTTTATCAATACACCGAGCACCACTGTGACTACCCGCAGCATTTTCCCAACCCTCAGCAGCAAAGTCTCTCTTTGTTTGTACAATTAGGATGATATAACTTATAAGGGCCTAATTTCTCTGTATATTAATAATCTCTCCTCCTTTTCTTTTGCCATTTTTCTCTGCCTGGATCACCTCTAAACATCATTTCTTCTCCTTCTCCTTATGCCACTTGGAGTATCATCTAAAACTGCTATAGCTAGATGTTATAACACCTCAGGATAAATTCAGTATCTTTAACATAGAGGTGATTATGACTTTGTCTTTTATGTTTTTAGTTTTAATAGGTTTTGAAACTAACAACAAATATGAAATTAAGAACAGCTTTGGACAGAGGGTTTACTTTGCAGCGGAAGATACTGATTGCTGTACCCGAAATTGCTGTGGGCCATCTAGGCCTTTTACCTTGAGGATTATTGATAATATGGGTCGAGAAGTCATGACTCTGGAGAGACCACTAAGATGCAGCAGCTGTTGTTGTCCCTGCTGCCTTCAGGAGGTCTGTGAGCAATTACCAGGGTACTTTGTAAAATAATTCAGCAAGAATTTTTATCGTTTCATTGAACCTAGGCATTATGATTATTATTACATTTACACATATTGTTTTGCCTTTGTAGATAGAAATCCAAGCTCCTCCTGGTGTACCAGTAGGTTATGTTACTCAGACCTGGCACCCATGTCTACCAAAGTTTACAATTCAAAATGAGAAAAGAGAGGATGTACTAAAACTAAGTGGTCCATGTGTTGTGTGCAGCTGTTGTGGAGATGTTGATTTTGAGGTAAGAGATGTCATAATGTTTATAGGATTTGTTTTCCTAATATGAGAAGAATGTAATTTTGCAGGATGCTATAAATGCATTAAATAAGTATTGTGTGCCAATGTCTCAATAGCAAGGGAATGTTCTAATATATTTAACTTTGGTTAGCATGGTAGTTATCACTCTAATTAAAGGTCAGTGTTGGTCATGATAAACGGAAAAAGAAGCAGACCTGTCTAGTCAAATAAAAATAAGCAAATCATCTATCAGTTAAACATGGTGGTTTCTGTGTGATGACATTGTATATTATCTGTTTTAAACAAAATGTTAACCTTGTCATCAATTCTGATTGCCAAAGCATATGGATTCTTCTTTAATCTGAAATATTAGCTGCCAGTGCTCAAAGCCATGTTCAGAAGATCTGACATCTTTGAATTCCTACAAGAAGTCCAATTATGCAAAGACAGTTTTGAGAAAATTAGTATAATATGTACTACCCAATTATGCTTCTCTGTGGTCTCTTCTTTTCCCTATATTAAATTGGGTCACCAGAAGCTGCAACATATTAAAATTTGTATATTTACTGTAATACATTGTAGAATTTCATTAGAGTATTTATTCCACAACAGATGGTCTAAACTTATAATCTAATTTTTTCATTGAAAATGTTTAAAAATCAGAAGGTTTTATAACTTAATCTTGATTTCTTGTTTCTCTTGGAAATTGGGTTAACTGTGCCTACCTTTTCACAAAAAGGACAAAAATCTACTAAAGATGTGTAAGGCTGCCCCTTGTAATAATGACACAGGAACTCTACCACTGTCTCCCCACTTACTGAGGTTTTTCGATAGCCAGTGTCATTCATTTACATGATCTGCCTGCCTTCTTTAATCATATGATATTTGATTCCTCCATCAGACCTTAGCAATATAAAGATAAATCCTTTCCCTCATTAACTTCATAGTCTAATGACAGAGATTCAAAGTTTTAAGAAAACACATGTGATGTAGAAATTTTAAAAAGGCTCTTATAAAAGGATTTATAAAGTGAGTATATGTATATGTGTGCATAATATGCATGTATAAAAATTTTATATAGGGGTATATATAATAGAAGTTCTTCATGTAGGGGATGGAATCTCTATCCTACATCCAGAGAAGTGAAAAGTAATTGCTCATTCAAGGAACAATGTTAAAAGAAGTTTAGCTATCATATATTTTATTTTTAGTAAATAAATGAAAACACTGGAAAAGCATTGTGTAATTCTTATATTTGATGCTAAAGAATTTATGTTTCATCTAGCAACCTTTCTTGATGGATACCTTAAAGCACCCATTCCATATAATAAATTAACTTTTATTCCGTTTATCTAGAATGATGATACCAAGGTACTCTTATGGAAAGAATTGAGAACTGTCACTTGAAGAATTTTCCGTAGGGTTGACAGTGGAAATTCTGACACCTCAAAGCAGAAATTATTAGTATGAGAGATGACTAAGGAGCATGAAACCCACCAGGGTGTCACTGGGCATGGAAACTTGAAGTAATAAAAGAGATAAAAGCCTGTTCCACAGCCAGGGCAGGAGTCTAAAAAAGGGAACTTTTTTTAGAATGAGACATTTCATAGGTGTACTATATGGAACTAATTCATGAATCTGATGTCAATTGAGGATGAAAAAAATTTTGGAGATGAATTTGATGTTTTATTATTTTGATAGTACCATTGGCCAAGTTAAGAATCTTGAAGGAAAAACACTTGATTTATGTCCTCCTGACCATTATGATAGTCTGATTTTTAAAAAGTAAGGTATCCTTTGAACAGACATTTTACTAAAGAAATTGTAAATATGATGATACAGTTTGGCTGTGTCCCCACCCAAATCTCATCTTGTAGTTCCCTTCCATGACCTGGTGGGAGGTAGTTTAATCATGGAGGCGGTTACGATCATGCTCTTCTTGTGATAGTGAGTGAGTTCTCCCTAGATCTAATGGTTTTATAAAGGGCTTTTCCCTCTTTTGCTTGGCACTTCTTCTTGCCTGCTGCCATGTAAGACATGTCTTGCTTCCCCTTCACCTTCTGTCATGACTGTAAGGCCTCCCAGACACGTGGAACTTTGAGTCAAGTAAACCTCTTTCCTTTAAAAATTACCCAGTCTCAAGTGTGTCTTTATTGGCACAGTGAGGACAGACTAATACATATGACATATGAGTATTTTAAAACATACACAGTATTATTCGTCATTAGAAAAATGCAAGTTCAAACTACAATGTGATGCCATTACAAAGTTGTCAGAATGGCAAAACAAAACAAACAATCAAAAAAAAAAGTAAGGTATCAAATACTAATACACATCTAGGTCAGGGGTCAGTAAAATATAATCACTGGGCTCTAGTGGATGATATAAAATATATATGGGAAGTTAATGACTTGCATTAAGGTTATATTGGATTTTAGTTATGTAGAGGAAAGGAATGGAGAGTTTGCAGCAAACAGATAGTAATTCTCTAAGGTTATCTCAATGGTGAGTAAGAGAGAGCCTAGTAGACCTTCTGTCCAATATGAATGATAAAAGAGTCTGTCTCCTTCAAGGCAAAATCTTGGTAGGGGAAAATAATGTGGCCACATGAAACTAACACACCAAGTCTGTCCTGTCTATGAGCTTGAAATTTGAAATCCTACCACTGTTGTGTTTCAGGAATCTCAAAATATAAAAACTGATCCTGAGTGGTGATAATATTTTATGTGGTCCCAGATTGTTTTATGCTGCCCTCTCAACTAGATTTTCACTAGTGTTCCATAAATAAGTTTCTAAAAAACAGACTATCATAATGGTCAAGAGTACAGACTCTGGAGCCAGATGCCCAGGTTTGAAACCCATCCTCAAAATAGTAATCTGTGTGATCTTAAACAAATTATTTCACTTATCTTTGCTTTAGCTTTTTTTTTTACCTGAAAATTGGGTGCAGCAACAGTAAATAAATAAATCATTAGTAAGTAAGTAAAATAGCTTACCAACAACGATTAATATTATCATAGTATATTTTTTATATTCCTTTGATACATACTTAGGTCCTATATGCTATTGTTATATTTCGGTCTTTTGCATTTATACTTGCATGTGAGATGAATCTGTGGTTTTCTTTTTAGAATGCTTTTACCAATTAGTATTACGTTAATGGATTTAAAAGTTTAACATTTATATAATACCAATTTCTTACATCCAAACGCTGAAATTTTATTATAGTGATTTTCTATTTTTAAATGTGTGCAATTTAGCTAAAAATTATCTAGTCCTGATGGTCTATTGAATGATCATTATTTGCATTTCCGATCATGGCTATAAAAAAAAGTATTCTCTACTTCTTTAAATTTCTTGCTGTGATAATAAAAAAGGGCAAATGTTAATATCTTTATCTGTGTAGTCTTGGATTTATAGTGGCTGGTAAGTTGCCAGCTGCGTTTTTCATTTTTAAAAAATTTCAGAATTAAAAAATAGCACGAGTTGTCATCACTAGCTCCAAATGCTTTGATGACAGCTATTAGCAGAAAAATGCTAACATGTAAAAGAAAGAATTTATATTAGTTAATTTTGCCAAAGTAGTGAAATACTACTCCTAATGAAATGTTACACATAATCCCTAAAACTCAGCAGCTTGCAACAAGCATTTATGCTCATGGTTATGGGTGTACAGGTCAACTGTGTTTCAGTGGATGTATTTACAGTCCCACTTAGGCTGCATGTTAATCTTTGCTCCAGCTATGTTTGTTCTACGGCTGTAGCAGCAGCAGCTACCTGAGTCATGCTTTTCTAGTGGCTTATCACTGGAGATCATAAGCCAGGCCAAATCACTTAGCCAAGTTTAAGGACACTACTCATGTCATATCTGCCAACACACATTGATCAAACAAGTAACATGGCCAAGGCTAATTACGAAGGAACAGGAAGTATACTGGGCCTATAGAAGGAGAAGGAATGAAATGAATATTTGATGAACAGTAATCTGTGCTATCAGTTTCATATTAGATGTTTATTTCAGGTATTTAACAAACTATCCACTAGTACTCAAATAAAATGAGCCAAGTGTTTTTAGATTCCCTGCATTTATTTAGCTGGTCACATTCAGCCTGAGGCAAGTGCTTCAAAGAGCGTTGCTGACACTTGTAGTGCCTTGTGCACATTTTAAAAGGACACTCCTCCTCTGTTAACATAACTATATGTGTACATAGTTTAGTGGATTTCAGCTACATTCAGCGCCCACCTGCCCTCCTAGAGGAGTTGCTTTAGTCTGAGGACAGTCCATTCAACTCTATATGATGGCCCTGGGCTTTTGTCAGGCAGAATTATAAAATTAGAACATTTCTACTTTGGAGCTCATTTGTTCATACACTGCTTCGTCTTTTATTACTCACACCCTGCTATTTATCCACTCTTACCTCAATCCTTGACATGGTGCATTTCATCAAGTTACTTATTAGGTATTTGCCTTTACTCAAAACTGCTAATCTTTTCTAGGCTCTTAGCATTTCATGTTTGGCAACTCACAGTGGGTGGTAATAAACCTTTTCATCATATTTAATCTTTCAGTCTATGTAAACTATGCTTTCCTAAAGCAGAAATCTAATGGGAGTTTTGTTCATTACCTTCCTGATGGCTTCCAGAATTGTCATCAAAGAAACATTTCATATTTATATCCTTTTTTGCTTAAATTTTCTTTTGGGTCAATTCAAATAATTTTTTAGTGTCTGTATTAATAGAAAATGTTAAATATTTCAGAAAAACTACTTTCATATAATTTTTCTATACAATGAAATTGTTGTTTTTTTTTTCATATATCTATAATAGATAAGCCTCTAGTTATCTAATGAGGGTTACATGTTCATGGTTACATATAGTCCATAATTTTAATGCCATATTTGTTTCATCTGCAAATTTGAAAGTACTTTTGCTATAAGTTTTCTAAAAATATTTAATAATTATTTTCAATTTAGATTAAATCTCTTGATGAACAAAATGTAGTTGGCAAAATTTCTAAGCACTGGACTGGAATTTTGAGAGAGGCATTTACAGACGCTGATAACTTTGGGATCCAATTCCCTTTAGACCTTGATGTTAAAATGAAAGCTGTAATGATTGGTGCCTGTTTCCTCATTGTAAGTCTGTTCTTATTAATCTTGATTATAGATGGTTTCTCTAGGTTCATTCTGAAGTGATTCAGTAAAGTGTGTATTTCAAAATGACATTTTAAAATCTGTAGATTTTAAACCAGGATTCCCATTTAATCCTAGCTCTGAAATTCTTTTTGATCCTAACCCTGTGGAGTCACAGGTGACTAGTTTCTATCTGAAGAGTCTATGGATTTTCACATGGCAAGTGAGGGACTAAGGAGATGTACTAAGGAGATATTTTAGTCTCTCCTTAAATCAAGCATCTCCTAGATGCTTTGAGGAAAAGTTGAAAGTGGGTATATGTGGAAAAAATTTAGTGAAACAAGAAAACTTTACCATGACTCACAATAATTAAATTAAACCATCTAATATAGCAGTATGAACTACAATAAGAGTATACATTCACTCAAGTGTGTAGAACTAACTGCCAAATTATAGGAAATGATTGTATATACCAGTGATTCTGAAATTGTCTTCACATTAGAATCACCTAGGGACCTTTAAAAACTCCAAGTACTAGTCCATACCTCAGTTCAACTAAATCAGAAACTTCAAAGTTTGTATAGTGTTCCTGGTGATTCCAATACGCAGCCAAAGGTGAGAACTATGGGGATGGAGAACATTTAGAGAGTAACATTTAGAGAAAAAGACCAGAAGATTCATTAAATTCTTACAAGTATCAATCAATAAATAGAATTATAGAATTTAATTATTATTAAAATGGAAAGCTAAAAGTGGAACTTATATAATATAGAGCTTTTCTATATTTACTTATTACAGTTAATTTCTTAAGATATGTTACTGTGTTTCACTAGATCCCTTAGCATTTCTGCATCTGATAATTGATCTCTGTTTTGTTGCTGAAAATTCATTTGTGTATTTTTGTTTTTATCTAGGACTTCATGTTTTTTGAAAGCAGTGGCAACCAAGAACAAAGATCAGGAGTGTGGTAGTGGATTAGTGAAAGTCTCCTCAGAAAATCTGAAGTCTGTATATTGATTGGGACTATCTAAACTCATACCTACGTAAATTAAGCTGTAATGCCTGTAGCTCTGGTTGTGTACTTTTGCTTTGCAAATTAATAGAGTTTATCTTCTGTATAACTGATTTATAAAGGTTTTTATGCATTTTTTAATACTCACTGTGAATTTGAGAAATAGGACATAGGAGTTTTTACAATTATTAATGAAACTTCCTATGAAAAACTGCTTTGAATCATGATCTCTGATTGTTTTACTACCAAATATTAATTAATGCCTTAATTTTAATATAAATTATATTTTATTCTATTAAATCTAGTTACAGTTTATTTCATGCCTAACTGATAATGTTATTTTACAAATGCCATATATTCAAAAAATTTCAAACATAATTTATATTATGTTCAAATAATATTCATTATGCATATTATCTTTAAAAAGTTAAATGTATTTATTTTTTTAATCTTCAGGGAATCATGCTACACTTATCTTCCCCTGGAAGCTAATCTGTACCATAAATAATATGGTATTCATATTCACAAGATATTACCAATTTTTATATTATTGTTATTAAAGAAAACATGATTCTCTCCCAAAGAAAGACATGTTTTAAACACTCCTTCACTGTAAAACTCTGGTATTATTAAAACTTTTGAAAGTTAACATTTAAACATGGAATTTTTAGCTTTTATACTCTATCCTTCCTAAAAAAGGGTAATTGAAATTATTCAGATGTTAAATATAACATATGTATTCACAGAGCATAAACCTAAATAATGATCTTTTAGATTATTTATATCAATAATCAAATATTTTTTTTAAAAACTTGGTTTTTGTATATTTGATTTTTGTTTTAATCAAAATGTGCTCAGATGGTATTTTGAATACTCATTCAGTTAAATGATGCTACATATTTTAAGCAGGATATTTCCCTGACCCCTTCACGGGACTCAAGACAGAGGTGCCTTGTTTACTCAGCCTACCACTGTCTACTCCTCATGGGAGGGAGTGCACAAGCACTGGAACAGACTGGCCACTTCTGCACTGGTAGGTGCAAACTCCTTGCAGGCCCTGAGGTAGCATCCTGGTGGGGATGCCTGTAACTCCTGAAGCCCCAGAAGGCATGTTACAGTGTTCTTTTAGCTCTGCTGTCTAGGGACAGCTTAAGTAGTTAAGAGCTCAGTGGGCAAAGGGCAAGTGTGGGAGCCTTTCATATCTGTACTTATGGTTCCAAGTTCTTGTCCGGCATCCAGGAAAAATGTGGTCACACAAATTAATTGAAGGATGGTAAATACAGGAAATTTTATTGCTGATGAAAGTGGCTCTCAGTGGGAAAAGAGGCTAAAATGGGGACAGAGGAGTAGGTAATCTTCCCCTGAAGTCTGGCCATATCTGGCTGGATTTTTCTCTGAAGTTACACTGTCAAGTTGTCCATCTGAAGTCAAGCAGCTTTTCTCTGATGTCAAGCCATAGTCTCCACTCCTTTCTGACTGAGTTTGGGGTCTTTATAGGTACAGGACTGGGTGCAGAGCAGGCTGTGGGTAGTTTAGGAAAAGGCAACCTTCCAGCAGGAAAACAGGGATATAAATTCTCACTTCGGGTCAGGGTTTCAGGCTTTTCAGCTTGAGGATAGGGTTTTCACTGAGGACTTGCCCTTTTCTGCCTAGAATTTCTCTGCCTCCTGTCCCCATCATATTTAACTGCCTTTTCCTTTCAAATCTTTTAAAACTGAGCAAAGATATATGACACTTTGTAGTAAAATCTGTACCAGTGTTGGCAACTATGATTTCCACCTGTCAGAAACTTACAAGAATTTAGTAATCTCTTTTGTAATGAAGAGTGAATTGAAAGATGACATGAACAACCCACGATATTCCTCATGCAGCAGAAAAGTGTGCTTAAGAAATCAGGGCATGTGGGAGAGTCTCTCTTTCATATTCAGCACAATTTTTGTAACAGCAGCTCTTCTCATGGTGTTAGTGCCTTAGACCTCAGAAGTTCCAAATGGCAAGCGGTGAGAACACTAACACACAGGAGATTTTCAGGAAAAGCCAAGTCTACATAATCTCCCACAAGCCTAAACAATTCACCAGATGCCGAATTCCAGTGATGAAGTGTACCCATGGCACTCCTAGCATGTGCTTGGTATAGACAGCATGCCAAGAAAAGTGGAGGTACTTGTATAGCTGAATCCCAATGGCTTTGTCATGCCAATTACAGAAGGGGGTGGGGGTGGAATTGCCAAACCGGCCACCACGTGCCAAAACTAACCCAAAATAAGGCTTAGAGTACTGACATTATCCCTGCGACTGCTACACCTTACTTTCATTATTTGCCTCTCTCTCTCTGAACAGTATTCTAGATCTTTGACTAAGCAAAATGAAACTAAACTGATCCAAACATTTCTTTCTGTCATCAAATCTGCAAAGATCTGAGCAAAAACCGACATATTTTCTGAAGAACCTATTTAAGTTAAATACTAGACAGATATTTTCTCCTTAAATAATTGCATAGAGAAAAATAATTACACATGAAAAAATAGATATTTAAATAAGAAAATACCAGGAATTGTTTTTAAAAGTTCAATATGTAATCGCAATGAGATTTGAGGAAATATTGCCTATTTTTATTTCTATTTTGTGAGTTATAACAGTGAAAGGAAAGTCACTTGTGTGTCCCTGACTGGAGACAATGTTGAGGAGGAAAGGATGCAATGGCTGGGGGATGGGGCTGAATTTTTGGATTTGGGAAGGAAGTTCTAGGTAGGTGGTCAGTGAGGAAAGGGGAGAATAGAGAGGGAGGAGGAAGGCTACATTAAGGGATGTCAGTACCTCTCCTAAGTACCTCTTGGGGGAGGGTTGGGGAGTAAGGAGGAGCATAAGTGAAAGAAGAGGCAAGGCTGGAAGGGTGGGGGATGGGGTGGGGAGAGGTGGGGAAGCACCGGCCACAGGTGATTAAATTGCCAGAAAGTCAGTGTCTGGGCTCCTGGCATCAAGTTGGCTAGCTACTCTCTGCATAAATACTAAAGCTTTTTTTTTAAAAAAAATGTATTTTTCTTTTTTTAAATTATACTTTTAAGTTTTGGGGTACATGTGCAGAACGTGCAGGTTTGTTACATAGGTATACAATACCTTGGTGATTTGCTGCATCCATCCCCCTGTCGTCATTTACATTAGGTATTTCTCCTAATGTTATCCCTCCCCAAACCCCCAACCTTCTGCTATCCCTCCTCTAATCCCCCTCCCCCATGGGCCCCAGTGTGTGATGTTCCCCTGGAAACCATCCTTCGCAGCAAACTGACACAAAAACAGAAAACCAAACACTGCATGTTCTCACTCATAAGTACTACAGCTATAATTGCATTTGGGCTCAAAAAGAGCTACTGCAACTTTAGGGCAACTAGAAAAAACTTAGTCAAGAATTCCTGCCATCACTTAAGAATGGAATGATTTAAAATGTCTCTGGGCACAGTGAAGTGCTCCTAGCACTTGAAGTCCCAGAAAAGTGTACAGGGTTTCCCTCCATATCCTGCCTCACTCCTTTCCAGTCCCTAACCCAACATACACTGGCTGCCTGAGTTTCCTAGGGCCATGTTTCTGCATCTGGCTTTGTCTCCTTCTCCTTCAAGCTCTGTGTTTCTCCTGTACCTTAATTTTCCTCAATTGTCAATAGTATCATTGTCAATTGATTATGTTATCTACCTCATAAGGTCACTGTGAAGATTCAGTGTTCCAGTGCAGTTTCAGTGACCTGAGCAGGTAGAACCAGCCTAAAAAATGAAAAGGGCAGCCAGGCACCATGGCTCACACTGTAATCCCAGCACTTTGGGAGGCAGAGGTGGGTGGATCACCTGAGGTCGGGAGTTCAAGACCAGCCTGACTATCATGGAGAAACCCCCATCTCCACTAAAAATACAAAAAAATTAGCCAGGCATGGTGGTGCATGCCCCATCTCCACTAAAAATACAAAAAAAAAAAATTAGCCAGGCATGGTGGTGCATACCTGTAATCCCAGCTACTCGGGAGGCTGAGGCAGGAGAATCGCTTGAACCCAGGAGTCAGAGGTTTCTGTGAGCCAAGATCACGCCATTGCACTACAACCTAGGTAACGAACAAAACTCCGTCTCAAAAAAAAAAAAAAAAAAAAAAAAGAAAAAAGAAAGAAAGAAAAGAAAGAAAACAAAAGAAAAGAAAAGAAAAAAGAAAGGTACTATATGTTTATCTGTTGGTAAAGATCAATGGTTTTCAAAACACAGGGAAGTGTCTCAAAGCCAATGAGGAAGATTTGGGCTAAAGTAAATTTCTGTTTTGTGACTTGATCAGCAAATAAAATCCATTTAAACCCTAGGAATAATCCTAAAAAAAAAAAAAAAAAAAAAAAAAAAAAAGATGTCTATGCAGGATGCCAAGCTAGGGAAAGATACTCATTTCACAGAAGTATAGATTAAGGGAATATTAAGGCACAGTGAGGAACACAGTCTCTGACTTCTGCGCTGGAGTCTTTTTTTTTCTTAGCCTCATCGTGTCAAAATGTGGCAAGCCATTTTAAGAGAGGAACAATGGCCAAGCACAGTGGCTCAAACCTGTAATCCCAGCACTATGGGAGGCCAAGACAGGTGAATCACCTGAGATCAGGAGTTCAAGGCCAGTCTGGCCAACATGGTGAAACCCCAACTCTATTAAAAATACAAAAATTAGCTGGGCATGGTGGCAGGCCCCTGTTATCCCAGCTACTCCTGAGGCTGAGGCAGAAGAATTGCTTGAACCTGGGAGGCAGAGGTTGCAGTGAGCCAAGATGGCACCATTGCACTCCAGCCTGGGCAACAAGAGTGAAACCGCGTCTCAAGGAAGAAGAAAAAAAGAGAGAGAGAGAGAGAGAGAAACAATAATCTGGGCCCCTGAAACCAGATGAAACATAACTGACAATACAGAGTTTGAACTCAGGATTTATAAACTGGGAGGGCCATAGAATGATAAGCAACAAGTGCAGCTGCTCACAGAGATCTTCATTTAACAACCCCCTCCGCCCCACCCACACATACACATACACAAACACCAAGCATTCAAGTTAAACATTAATCTACTGTTAATGTTTATATGGTAGAAAATGTTAGATTTGTGCCAAAAGGCACACTGTGAATTTATCCACATTGAATTCTGACTAGATTTAGAAAATTGATCTGCTTGCCTACTAAGGACAGTTTGTTTCTTTCTTTGGATTCTGGGGGTTTTCCATCATTAACACATTGAGGTTATTCTGTTTGGCAGTGATAGGGAATAAACATTGGCCTATTTCTTTCACCAAAGGAGTTAGTTGCTAGGAAACATTTCAGCTTTAATCAGGCATTGCCAATAAACTGCAACCATCTGGAAATATCTTAGAGAAATTCTCTGTTATATTCATTTTACAGAATTAATTAGATCTTAGTCTACTACTTGGTCCACTCAGGCTTCTATAACAAAACACCTTACAAAGGGACAGTGTAATTATAAAGGACTAAAATTTATTACTTACAGTTCTCCAAGCTGAGGAGTCCAAGATCAAGACACCAAGAGACTCTGGTGTCTAGTAAGGGCTGCTCTCTGCTTCCAAGATGGCCCCTTCTTGCTGCATTCTCACCTGGTAGAAGGTCAACAGGGACCCAACTGAATCCTTTTAAAAGGTCACCAATCCAATTGATGAGAATGGTGCCCTCATGGCATAATCACATCCTAAAAACCCCACATCTTAATATTGTCAAAATGGGTCTTAGTTTCCAACAAATGAATTTGGGGGGACACATAACTTTAAACCATGGCACCTACTAAGTACATTTCTGTTAAATCATACTGCCTG